AATTTTATTTTTAAAAATATATTATTATAATAAAAATGGAATCTATTATTTTCTAATTAAGCATTAAAATTATGATGAGAAAAATAATATGAAGTGATAAAGCTATAAGTACCAATATATGTATATGATTATTATAAACAATATATATGTATATATTTGATCAAAGTGTTATATGAATGCCTAAGTTGAAAATGCAAATAGCACTCGATATAGTCAAAGTCATAATACAAAAACAATAATAATAATGATGAAATTGATAATAACTTATATATGTATATACAAATGAGCTTTAAAAAAAACGGTAGAGCGACTGAGCACTAAATGTTGTACAATAAAATTGGTATATACATAAGTCGGAGCTGACTTTGAGTTATATTAAATGTTAGTTAAAAAGAGTTGAAATTTGTTAGTAAAAATAAAAATCCAAAGAATGAAAAGGACATGCTGCAGTCCTTCCCTTCAACCACATGCAGGGCAATTGCCTTGGTGAAAGAAACCGAATGTGGATTTGCAAAGAGACGGTGCTGTAAATAAAAATTTTTGTAGGAAAACAAAAATAGTAGAGGAGACTATTCAATAAAATAATAATATAAAGGGAATGCAACGAAAACGCCACAGTCTCCGATATGGAGCCATATTTATATATTTGATATTCAATATCAAATGATATATTTAATAATCAAAATGTTGCCACACTAATACATACTATGAATGATAATTGACTTTATGAACTTATCCTGTGAAGTATTACAAGTTATCTATATTAATCACATTAGTCACATTAATCATGACAATCGTAACCAAATGTCATTTCCTAAATAATTAACATGACCAATTTGCTGCTAGTTAAATGAGTTAGATTAGGGTATCGTTTAGTCGGTCACTCTGATTTCTCACTCTTGCTTTTTTTTCGTAGCAAAGTAGAAAATAACACCTAGTCGCGGTTTTAGTGCCAAACAATGAACTTCCTGCATGGCGAAATATGCTTAAAAGAAAGTTATGTTTATAGAGAGTTAAAATGGGATTTATGTATATTTATGTAAATAGATTTTATATTGCGCTCAGAGCTGCATAATGCTAATGCAAATGGATATTAGGTATTCATAGGATTACGTTTTATAAAAGAACATTTTTGCTGTAAGACTCACAACTGTTGTAGCTCAGTTCAGCTGTAAATCACTCAGCTGTTGTCAAGCATAAGCTCTGATATCAACTTCGATTCGATTGATTTTGGTTGTAAGTTATTTAGTATTTAAGTAGCTAGCCATTTTTCTAGGCTTGGATCTGAGCTAACTCTGGATTCACTGTAAATCCCGGCTGCAACGAGTTTGGCCGCCCTTCAGACATGGCGACATTGCATGTCACGATGCTACAGGCATTTGGCATTGCATGGCGAAAAGTCTCTGATTTAATGGCGTGGAAAATTAGAAAACGTTTGCCTTGGCCCACGCTTGGCCCGGACGCTATCGTCTGGCAGCTGTCAAACCGAATGGCCTCGATTTTCTGGGCATTGGGACAATTGCAGTCATGCTGCACAAGTGCCAAATTGCTAGCTGCCTAGAGGACTGGAGGCAGCGCCCACCTGGCTCAGGTGCTAGAAAATTGCATCTAATGACGTCATAAATTAAAGGCATCATATGGAACATAGTCGCACAGACACAGACACAGACTCGTCCACGCCCACATACAAAAGTGGCTGTCCTAGCTTTATTCAAATGATGTTGGCGGCTTTTTAGCAGCTTCCGTGTGCATTTTTAATGAAGTTTGGCTCTGCGGTTTTTTGTTCCTATGCGCCCCAAAGCCCGCCCATAGCAGTGCACACGTCTTTAGCGGTCGGCATTTGCCAAAAGGCTCAACTTTCGCAGGCTCGCAACGCTTTACGCTTTATAAAAGTCTTTGCAGCTGCGTCTCACTAATAAATGCGTCTGCCTGGCAAAGTCTACAAAGTGCTTTTAATTAGTCGTGTTAGCTTACTGCAAAAAGACCGACCGTATGCCAAAGGGGAAAAAATGAAATTGAAGTTAAAAACAAAAAAGTCATTGTTTAACCAGTTGGGTGTTAATCCTTATTCCTGTTATAAGTCCCTCCTCAGTAACTAGCAAAGTATTATTATGCTGCGATAGTCGAATGAATAACTTCTTTTATTATCAAATTTACAGAGCAAAAGTATTTATCTTCTCTGAATACTATTACACCGAACGTGTTCATTCGTCTTTTCATTAGTTGATTTGAGCCTCGAATGGTGCCCATGCTAGAGGTGCATATTTTCGCACAAGGACTTCGTATTTGCTCAGCTGTCTCATGGGCAAATTCTCGTAGCGAATGAAGCAAGCCCTTTGCGCCAGATACAGGGTGCCAATGAAAATTCCACCATCAGTTCGGCCACGGCAGACGTAGACGCGCTCGTTTGTAGCACTTGTGCCCACAGATACAGCATTCCTCTCCAAGAATCCATCGAAGCTGCGCACCCAGTCATATTTGACCGTCTCATTGGACACCAACAGCTCGTATGAGGTGGCCTGATTACCAACTGATTCGGTATTATATGTAGCGTATCCAGTTTCTGCCCTAACACGCGCTGGCAGCACTGAGCTCGAGTAAGCCACTCGTCCCACGAAGTTCTCATAGCCGTATGAGTCATAGCCACCCAGGACGGCGTTTTCCGGGAAAGGCCTTGACTTGTCGGATAGGACCCACTTATCCGTGTTGTCGTAATATCCGCACTGAATCGAGCCCACCAACTGGGCAACGATGAGCGCACAGGCGACGAGTTTCGTTGAGGAATACATGGTTAATACTGTTCGATAACTGATCAAAGACTGTTGTGGAGATTGATGAAAGACTTTGCTCTTATATAGTGCTGATTGGCATTAGAGGGAATCACTTGCCGATAAGTGGGTTCGTATCATAAATCTAAGTGTAACTAGTGGGAGCCCCTTTGAAATTTTGATAAGATAATATACAAAATTCAGTGCTTAAATTCGTCATTATTAAATGTTCAGATTATATGCTGCACGTTTCATGGAATCGATAAGAAGGAATCTATTAATAAAATATATTTAATACGTTTTGAATTAACGGCAATTAATATACATATTATGTAATTTGTCTCTCAGATAAATCGAATTAGTATTGAATTTATTGAAATCTGATATTGTCCGTTATATATGAAAAATAATAATTATGTAGTATTGAAGTTGAAAGTATCCATATTTCAAATGAATTATCTGTGTGTAGTCATATTTCAGATTCATAAGTTGAAGTATCTTTTTGATAAGCTCCCTACGCAAGATTGGCCCTATTTTTGGCATAAATATTCTTTACGTAATGAATTTTCTATTATTAATACATTTTTCGAAAATGCATACCAAATTTTGCAATACTTAGATTTGTTCGTTTAAAGACTAGACTGGAGTCTGTTTAATGCGTAGGTAAAACGAAAGGTACACTTCTTGTTTCTACTATTAAGTTCCAGTTAACTGTAAAATACATATAATTCTAGCCATAAGTTTAGACTCATGTTTTATTGTCTTTGTTTACATATTTATCTATTTATTGAAGACCTGCATCATTGTAATGCATATTATTCACCATTGTGAATAATTTCATATGCAGTCAATTTGGAATAGCCAGAAGGGAAATGTAATTTATAAAATAATAATTAGCTTTGAGAAGGAAACTTGGTATGCATTCTAATTATAATTTCTGAAATCCATAGAAATTGCTTATTACTCAAATACATTTATGTGACAGTCAGAAGGTAATACGCTAGACGATATTATGTATTCCTATTCTTGATCAGGACGATACGCTAAGTTGATCTATTTTTCACTTATGTTTTAAGATCGTATTTCATTTCTTTCTATTACCAAGAAATGTATATCTACTTAAACTGACATTTGAATACTACTATTTTTTTATACCCCTCGGCATTTTGCTTCTAGGTTGAATCAATTGTAATACTAAATAGTAATAGTAAAAGCTTTTGCCTTTTATCCCCTACCTGGCACTCCCCATCAGATAATTTGTAACGTTTCTTTACATAGTTTCTTATAAAACTAGTGAACTTTAGTTAACCAGTATAAAAAACATAAGAAATACCTTAAAATATCTCTCACATCTCAGTCAGAGTCTTTGTGGCGCACACACACACACATGTCTATGTATGCATGTAGTGGCCAAACCACAAAAGACAATACAGAGATACAGAGCGTGAAAACCTTGAGCAAGAGTGTTGTGGTTCGACTTATGGTTTTGACTTACGCTTGACAGTTGCCCAGCTACCGTGGTTTCTGCTCGCACACCTGCCCATCTGCTCACCTGTCAACTGGAACTTCGCTTCCGTGAGGTTTTTGAGCCACTTTCGGCATTCGCCGCAGCACACGAAACAAATGTTTATGACACATTTTACACATGAGGTTGGGTGCGCACTCAGTGCACTTTGCCAAGGCATAAAATATCTTCAGCCGATGTGCTTCTTGAGCTAAACTTTTATGGAAAAATTGACATCTTAGTAATAAGTAATAAAATTAACACAATAATTAATGATACAAAAAATATATAAAATCATGTGTAAGCATTAATATTTTATAAAAGTAAAAATATATTTACAAAAAATTTCTGCTTATAAGAATTTCCAAAGTAATTACAAAGTAATTACATTCTTTTATAGTATAGTATGAATATATTTATGGTTACTTGTGAATGGGAAGGATTAACCAGGATTATTTACATTCATTTTATGGATTATTTATTTATTATAT